ACCCACGGGCTGGGACCCAGGGACACGGTGACCAGGCCACAGCTCTGCACCTCAGCGCGTGTTTTATTGGCAGTCAGAGAAGCGATCGGTACCAGACACGAGCTCGCCCCTGCCTAAGGACCGGGGCTGCCGTTAGCCAGCAGAGCTGCAGCTGCTGCAGGGCTCAACACACCGATGCCCCGAGCGACCCCCTCTGCAGGGCATGGCCCACACTCGGCACTCTGCTTTCCAAGGCAAAGACCAACGCGAAAAGCGGATCCAACGCTCTCCAGTGCTTCAGGAAGCCATTTCTGTCCGAGTCAGCCCAGCAGGTCCATCTACTTGTACCAAAGCCTTGGGGAGATTCTCAAGAGCACTGTTAGGAGATGAAGTGAGTCTGTGGGGTGATTTGTTCCAACTTGTGATCAGCTGGGTTTGCTGATGCTTCGTAATTGCAGATGGTGACTTCATGGCGATGAGCCTGAGTTAAGATTAAACGTGTTAGTCTAGAGGGGAGCAGATTTCAAGTCCCTCCTAAAACACTTGACTGGCAAGAGCTGAGCAGGTTCCCATCTTACAGACTTTCCATCCCACACCATCCATCCCCACACCCCCCACTTCTTCCTGACCACTAGAGCTCAGCGTAGGCTACGATTTAAAGCCCTTTTACACTGTTAGCAGAGTCTCGCTCATCTCTGCTCTCACCTACCTCCGTCCATTCTCCTTTCAGGCCTATATAAAAAATCTTCATTGTCTCCGCTCCAAAGTTCTTTGGAAAGTGGATGGAGAGGTGGTAAACATTGGAGAAACGGGCAATTCTGAAAGAAAACACATTCAGAAACCGGAGCTCTGTGTACAGGCTGCATTGCCGCTTCCTCTCAGTGCCCGTGCATGGCTCCTACCCTAATCTGAGTCAGACTTGGGAGCAAACGACTGAGAGAGCAGAAGGAGCGGCTTTCCTCCTGCTTGCAGTGAGCGGGCCAGCAACAAGCTGTCACTGGGGCCAGGAGCAGGGGACACGACACTGGGATGATTCTGCACCCCGAGAAAGCCCAGGTCACAAGCACAGGGATCCCTCTGGCTCTGGAGAGGTTTTCAGACCAGAGCTCTCACCTGACAAGGGCAGGACAGAGCTGGGGAGGCAAATTCTACTGTGGGCAGCTTTGAAATGTAGGGGAAGGCACTGCCCCCTGCTAACACTTTCCTAAAATTCAGCGGCACATCAGGACCCTCAGGACCCTCCCCCCAGGGTCCACATCGTACTTGGTGGGGTACTCCAGCTCGCCCGTCGGATCCCGGTTCAGGCTGAATGTCTGGTCTGGTTCCCTGCCTACATCATCAAAGGACATGTGAGGAATGTTCCTGAACCTGGGAAGAGAGGGAGGAAAGCCAGGAGGCTATTAACATACAGGTCAGCTCATTGGTTTCCTCCCCATCCATTAGCACTACCTGGATTCTTGTCAACAATAAGAAACTGGATTTGTTTTGTCTTCTGAGGGAGAAAATACCAACACCACCACAAAGCATCATCACATTCCAGAATACCTAACACCCTGAGGAAATGACAACGGAGAGCAAGAAACACAGCTGCAGAGAGACAGATCTCAGCACGCTTGGGTACAGGAAGAAACCCAGACCCCAGTATGCTGGAGACAAGGAAAAGAGGGGCTTGGTAAAGGTGTGTTTCTTTCCCCACAAGCAAGAACTGCAGAGCACTCAATATTCTTTCATTTTCAAAAAAAGGAAAGGTGGTGTTAGGATGAATCTCTCTCCCTTCAGGAGGTAAAGCAGACCACAGGGCTCAGTACAGCAGGAGCACTGCCAAGAGCCTTACAAACCTCAGCTGGCTGCAGGACACTCTGTCACTTGTGTCCCTCTCTCCCAGGCCTCAGAGGTCCCCTCCAAAGCAAAACCCCTCTTGGCCCGCTGATCCCAGCAGGCTGGTCTCCTCACAGCCCAGCCAGTGTCTCACCCAAACACTCTCTTCTAATTAAAAGCAGCGCTCCACTTCTCTAGAGAAAAGGCAGCGAGCAGCCAGGCTCACCGCCAGGAAAGCTCCACCTTCTCCCTCCTCCTGGGCCCCTGGACGAGCTGAGCTGCAGCTGAGTAACGCTGCTTCCTCCCACACTGCACACCCTCCGCTTGGCCACCCGGCAGCCTGAGAATCACTCTGCTCGTCAGCTACGAGTCAATCAGTTCAGTTTAGGCTGCAGCAAAGTTAATACTGATTTAACTTACAGCCTCATCTCTGCTGGGTGCGTGCTGTCGTCTTCTCCCATCACAATTACTCCTTTTAACTTCACGTTGCCCGTAAACCTGCCAAGAGACACACAAGCGGCGTTTTCACCTCCATTCTCCCCAAATCAGCGCCCGTTGAGGGGCACCCCGCCCTGCCTCCTTCCCAGGAGCACGAAGGCGAGGAACAAGCCCTGCCAGCAGCCAAACCACCACCACGGGACCTCAGGGAACGAACTTACGGGATGTTGAACAGCAGCTCCTCCTCATCGTCGCTTTCCACGAACTGCGGAGAGAGCAGGGAGCAGGTCAGGGCCGGCCCAGGCCGCGGAGGTACGCGGGGGTCGCACAGGGGGCTGGGAG